TTAATTCACAAGCATGGTTAGCAGAGATGGATAGTGGCTAGCAGTGGAATCCAGGACGCGCGTTTCGTCCTATTTGGGACTCGTCAGCTGGATGTACCTGCATCTCAGAGTTGATGTTCACTCTGGGACTCGAACCCAGTACCCTCGCTTCAAACGCCATCGCGTTATCCACTCGGCCACTGAGTCCTGATAGCCACTTGCTTGTGCGATGGGGTGAAGTTTAAATTCAACTTAGTATTGTTTGTTTGAATCTTCCCATCGATTTGTTAGGACTGCAACTGGTCAGTCTCTAATTGGCATATGTGCATACTGTGCGTATTGCCTCGATATACCTTAATTCACAAGCATGGTTAGCAGAGATGGATAGTGGCTAGCAGTGGAATCCAGGACGCGCGTTTCGTCCTATTTGGGACTCGTCAGCTGGATGTACCTGCATCTCAGAGTTGATGTTCACTCTGGGACTTGAACCCAGTACCCTCGCTTCAAACGCCATCGCGTTATCCACTCGGCCACTGAGTCCTGATAGCCACTTGCTTGTGCGATGGGGTGAAGTTTAAATTCAACTTAGTATTGTTTGTTTGAATCTTCCCATCGATTTGTTAGGACTGCAACTGGTCAGTCTCTAATTGGCATATGTGCATACTGTGCGTATTGCCTCGATATACCTTAATTCACAAGCATGGTTAGCAGAGATGGATAGTGGCTAGCAGTGGAATCCAGGACGCGCGTTTCGTCCTATTTGGGACTCGTCAGCTGGATGTACCTGCATCTCAGAGTTGATGTTCACTCTGGGACTCGAACCCAGTACCCTCGCTTCAAACGCCATCGCGTTATCCACTCGGCCACTGAGTCCTGATAGCCACTTGCTTGTGCGATGGGGTGAAGTTTAAATTCAACTTAGTATTGTTTGTTTGAATCTTCCCATCGATTTGTTAGGACTGCAACTGGTCAGTCTCTAATTGGCATATGTGCATACTGTGCGTATTGCCTCGATATACCTTAATTCACAAGCATGGTTAGCAGAGATGGATAGTGGCTAGCAGTGGAATCCAGGACGCGCGTTTCGTCCTATTTGGGACTCGTCAGCTGGATGTACCTGCATCTCAGAGTTGATGTTCACTCTGGGACTCGAACCCAGTACCCTCGCTTCAAACGCCATCGCGTTATCCACTCGGCCACTGAGTCCTGATAGCCACTTGCTTGTGCGATGGGGTGAAGTTTAAATTCAACTTAGTATTGTTTGTTTGAATCTTCCCATCGATTTGTTAGGACTGCAACTGGTCAGTCTCTAATTGGCATATGTGCATACTGTGCGTATTGCCTCGATATACCTTAATTCACAAGCATGGTTAGCAGAGATGGAAAGATTCAAACAAACAATACTAAGTTGAATTTAGTAAAAGTAAGTTGAAATCATTTAATTCAAAATGATAATTACACATTCTCAATAAATCTGTCACTAAGCACGCAATCAGTCACAAAAAAATGAAAAAGTTAGATTTAAAAAAATGAATGATTACAGTCACAGAGTAAAACTAACAAAGAATGTTATCCAGTCGACAGATTCTGAATCTTTGCATCTGCATGGGTAATAGTAATTATATGTATAGGCGTGCACATTCCTATGGTTACTTCACAGGTTATAATTCATACAAAATATTTGTAGCTCATATGTGAATTTACAGATATAACATTCAGTCAGTTAATCAGTCATAGACAGCTCAGAAAATGGAGCAAAAGTGTGTCTTTCGAAGTCTTTATACTTAACATTAGCGTAGTAATATGCAATTAAACAAAATTAATAGCAAAGGAGTCGAAATAATAAAAATATCCTCACCTATTCGTATGCAAAATCCGCTGTACGTAAGGTTGGGAGGTGTTTAAGCATGCGTAACTAATGTCCTAAAAGCCACATATCCAACACCACAATTTCAACAACCGAATTATCATTTCTACTTAGTAGTCTACTCAAAATTTTGATGCGAATCACTTCGTACTTCTATATTATATTAATAGTTCTTCAAAGGCACCTCCGATCGACTATATTAACAACCTAACCATTCCCTCTACCTTTAAGGGATAAACTTAAAAGATATAGATATGAATTAGGCAGCTGAAGAGTAGACTCGTGTCTATAAGATAGTCTGTCTACATTTATGGTGCAGCATTTTAGAATTGAGTGGTTATTAATTTGGGGGCATTGGATCAGTCAGTCAGTCAGCTACAACGCAAGACCAGGCACATAAATGCATCGGTCCAAGTTGCCATACCTCGTTAGCACAACAAGATGAACACCGGATTCATAGAAGTAATTAATTTACTGGTGGTAGTATATAAAGAAAGGTTGTATATAAGGATATAGTATAGGAAGGAAGAAAGTTATGAAGCAATTTTAATCTCAAGGTTTAAGGGAAGATAAAGAGTGTATACACCTACGCCATTGTGATCGATTCTGAGCCATGTCACCTAAAGTCTCCAACCATTGGTTACGATAGTCACGCGGACCCCAACCAGGTAGTCTGCATCTACCAACATGGCTCAGACCAGAAGTTAGTGACTTAAAACACTGATGCCATGTTTTGGTTTGGCCGCCCCTAACTCTCTTCCAACAATCCCCTACACTAGTCAGCATTTTGCGTCGTGGGAATCGGTGTTCAGGCATACGTAACACGTGGCCCAACCATCTCAGTCGGTGAAGATTCATCACCTCATCAACTGATTTACCATCATTCCCTAATACCTTGCGTCTAACCTCACTATTACTTACCCGGTGATCCCAGCAGATGCGAGCAATATTTCTAAGGCATCTGTGGTCAAATACTAGTAACTTACGAGTATCTTCTACTCTTAATGGCCATGTTTCGCAGCCGTAAAGTAGAACAGAGCGAACTGCTGCACAGTATACTCGTCCCTTAATTGATAGACGGATATCTCGTCTTCGCCATAGGTGACGTAAGTTGGCAAAAGCCAAACGAGCTTTTCGAATCCGTGCTGAGATTTCGTCAGACACCAACCCATTAGGGCTGATCAGACTTGCAAGATAAGTGAAGTTGTCAACGCGTTCGACTACTTCACTCCCTATCCTTAGTTCAGGTGTTGACGCAGGCCAGTCATGGAGTAACAATTTACATTTGGATGGGGAGAAACACATCCCAAACATCCTGGCATTATTACTGAGTTCCAACAGAAGACTCTGCATTTTGTCAGCATCTTCACCAAACAGGACTATGTCATCTGCGTATTCTAAGTCGATAAGTGAACCTCCTGGTAGAAGATCAATTCCTGAAAATTCAGTCGACGAGAGTGTTATTTCCAGCAACAGGTCTATAATGAAGTTAAACAAAAATGGGGATAGTGGACAGCCATGACGGACACTACTTGAGGTTGTAAAATCATATGACAGTTCGCCATAAGCTATCAATCGACCGGTAGTGTTCGAGTAAAGAGCCTTCACGAGGCTTATGTACTTCTCAGGTACACCTTTTAATGACAGACACTGCCACAGAACCTCTCGGTCTACAGAGTCAAATGCTGCTTTCAAGTCAAGAAAAACTATCATTGTCGGACGCCGAAAAGTATGTCTGTGCTCTAAAACTTGACGAATGGTGAATATGTGGTCGATACAGCCATGACCAGGTCTGAAGTCAGCCTGATTTTCTCGTGTTTGCAGTTCACGAGTCTTAGTTAGGCGCCCGATAATTATTGAGGCTAGTATTTTAGATACTATGTTAGTCAGACTAATCCCTCTATGGTTATCACAAGATGATTTTGGCCCCTTCTTATATATTGGGACAATCAGAGATTGTAACCAGTCAGATGGGATTACGTCCGTTTCCCAGATTTTAGCCAGAATATTAGTCAACCTAATCGCTTCATTGTACCAATATTTATGTGTTTAAATAAATAAAATAAAAAATCGCTAAAATTGGATCACCATATTTAAAGACCTCTGGAGCCAATCCATCTGGACCAGCTGCTCTTCCTCGTTCCAGATTGCTTATAGCCTTTTGAACTTCAAGTAGGGTCGGGGGGCTTACTTCAATGTTCCATTCAGGTTTTATGAGAGTAGTGGGTAGTTGTGCAGTAGCTGAAGGCCAGCTAAACTGCTCCTTAAAGTGTTCCGCCCATCGTTCTAAACGTTTGGGTTGAGAGCAGATAAGGGTTCCATCTTTTTCCGAGATCGTCTCACTTACACTTGACTTATTAATTCCTGGGACAGCGTTTCGCGCACTAGGATCGTTGGCCATGGTGACACTTGAGGAGGAAACCGAAAGAGGAAGTTTAGTGCTGAAAGTCAAGGTAGAAAGAATAGTAGGAAGTAAAGAAGGAGATTGATTATGAATACAGTGGTCTTGAGTGCTGTTTGAGGTATGAGGGCAGTTATCACTTCCCGGTTGCCCACACCGTGGAAGGGTACTTCTAGGGGTACCTGAAAAGGAAATTGGGTGAGAAGTGGTCTTAATGACCTGAGAGCGTGACCGCAGTGCCCAAGGGACAACTGCTTGCGGCCGGTCACGCACAGCCTTTTTGTGGGGGATTTTTGACGTGTTAGCTCCGTTCTTCAAAAGTCCTTACCGCCGGAGACGGAAATCCGTGGGATAAGGCGAGGTATGCATTTTTAGGGTCGACATTTTCTAACCCCACCCCTCCTTGTGGGAAGGCAGCATCGCTGTCATGCTGGTTGTCTGAAGGAAACACCTTACTGCCGTCACACCTCTGTACAGTCAGCAGTACGACTTCGCCTTCGGACCTTGGGATTGCTGCTTTTAGTTTTACCGCTCTTCAATCGACCTGTCTGGCATGGTAGGACCTTGAGGAACGATTGTTCCAGCCAGCATAGCCCGATTGGATCATCACGATAGGCAAGCCCGACCACCACGTCAATGTAGCAGCAACGTTCGGGTATTGGATCAGTATTATGGAAATAAATAAATATATGAAAATTCAGTATATCACCGTACAAAAAAGAATTCAAATGTATACAATATTATCTAACTTACCAGCAGGATATACAGATGAATTATCCCACGAAGGCATTTTTAAATGACTAAATGAGGTAGAATAGTTAATTTTTTCCGACGATCTATCAGCAATTGATGGTAATGGTGCTGGAGTTGTTGATGATACTGTTTCTGTCGGTAATGATGATGATGAGGAAGGTGATGTAGATAATACACAAGAGGATGGTACTGTATTCAAATTTAATGAATGTAATATATCTAACGGATTATTAGTTAATTTACTTGTTGAATTATCTACAGGTTTTAAAATATTTGAATCATTTGAATTTTGATTTGTAACTGAATTGTTATTAATATTAGTAGTAGTTGTTGTATTATGTACACTATTCATAAGTGAACAGTCTGTCATAGAATATTCTCTTGTTTCAGAATCAGTTTCTGGTAATTCAATAAAATCTGGCGGTTCGATTAAACAGTTACTTAAATCCTCTTTCGGTCTGCAATAGGAAAAGGAATGAGACAATAATTACTTGTTAAGTAAAAAAGCGAAAAAACCTAAGAATAGCATACAAGCAAATAAATCCAACATTCATTCAATAAACATTGAAATATGAAGAGGGTTTTTATCACGAAATGGTATCAACTGGAGAATTAATGAGAACAATAGAGTATTGACTAGCGGTTTTGTTATACTTTTAATACTCATTATCCATAACCGTTGGTGTACACATCTGAGGAATCTAGCTGACATTAATCCATGATGAAAGATGTCTCTGAAATGAACTAATTATCACATACTATGTAATAAGAAATATTCCACATATTAAAACCTGAAATGTATTTTGACAGTAAAACTAGATTTCCGTAAACTGATTAAGATTATTGGGTTGAATGTGTGTGCAAACCTAAGTACACTTATATTTATTGATCTCTGAATAAATGAACATCTTTATGAAAAGACATTCAGATATAACAACAGGAAATGTAACTAATCACACAAAACATTTCCAATTGAACACCTATCTCCTAATATGCTATTTAACTCAATAACATTATAACCGATTAAAAGATATGTTAACTAATATTAGCCAAACTTAGGGATCACATGGCATCGCAAATCACTTAAATAATATCAAATGGGCAAACAAATAAGCGATAATGAAACACCCAAGACTGTAGAACTTTATATCTGAAAATGTAAGTTATAAAAAGCACCATAAATTTAAAAAAAGTCATGTTCAACTAGACAGTTACTGATGTCCATATGAGGTGAGTCAGATGACTAAAATTTTAATTACTTGCATTGTATAACCAAAAAAAACTTAAGGGATTTTTGTTTAGAGGAATAGTACATCGATATTTTTATAATAGGCATAGACTAAGGGTGTCGGGACGAGCTAATATAGACCACATGAGTGGTGATATATATATAGCAAAGTATTTGTAGCCTAATTTGATAATAAAGTTCATGGGATGCAAAATAATGCTAACAAATACAAAATCCGCAACAAGTACGTGTTAGAATATTGGGTGATTTGCTGTTGCCTAAAATGAATTACCAATAAGCGTGAAAGGAATCAAACCTTTTTTAAAAAATAAAAAAAACCCAGCGAATTCATACCTGATCAACTAAACAGTTACATTAAAAATTGTCGATTGATATTAAAATAACGGAAGTAAAGATCTAGAGAACACAATTGAACTAAATGGAGGATTAAGAAAATCACAGATATATAGTAAAATATTGAGTGTAATAAATATGATCAAAACAGAATTTGTCATAGAAGTCATAAACATTGCAGTAAACAAATGATCAAACTATTTTATAGAAGAAAACCATATCATTGATTGGCTACAAATTATTGATTAGTAACTAATATAAAGACTAGATTAACTGAATAATTAATCAGAACAGTTTTATTGATTAGAAAAGTATCTTTGTAACTACTAAGCAACAATAATTAGGAGATATTAATGTATTTTTAAGACGTTATCTGCCATAAACTAACATCAGTTGTAGAATAATTCAGCTAACCACATGTGAAATAATACACTGATTTAAAAACAACATAAAATGTTAGTGTATATTTGCGTAAATAGGTTTCTTTCAAATAAATTTCATTTGGCTTCAAAAAAATTTATTCTTCATTGAGATTTCTCTGAGAGCCTTAAAACATCATCATTGTAGTCAATGAATGTCTTAAAACTCCTATAAAACATTGTTCAGACACATCTTGAATACGTAATGATGTTGAAGAGTACAAATAAAGATTAAATCATTTAGTTAATACTCTAATTCAAATATCAATGATTGTTAAAGATGAAAAGAAGCAACCAAATTATTAAGATAAAGAATCACTTATTTCTATTTTTTCCTGTTTAGTGAAGTTATAATAGACACATTTTTAAATATCATGACATTAAACAATAACTGTAATGAATATAGAATAGAAATTAGGCCAATAAAACCAATATACAATATGAATATTTATATGAAGGATTATCAATTGGGAAAAAAAAATCAATCAATACACAATGGTTTAGAACTAGATTTCTTAATTCTCTTCTTTAAATTTGGAGGATTGAACATCAAAACAACATTATCTTATAATTTGTATGTTCATATGAATATGTCAGTGTATGGAATAAGAAGGATTATGTCGAATGAATGACCTTGAGAGAGAATAACATATGTTGTAGATTAATTAGTTTTTTCAAGATGTAAACACAAGAAAAGTAACAGGAAATAAGATGATAGAATGTAATTTAAACAGTTATTAAACATTTAACTTAAAAAATGTTTAGATTTTGCTCAAAGTTTCAACAACATTATAACTACTACTTTCGTCGAAGATGCTACCAAAATACTTCAGTGTTGGTGATTGGATAACAAAAAGATAGCGGAATATGATAAAAGGACTACTGTGAGACGATGACTTAGTGTTAACGGCACTAGGATTATGTCCCATAAATCGCAGATTGAAATCCAACCGGATCTATAAACTCTCACAAAAACTTCTAGCATACAACGAAGTATATAAACCTGCATTTGGTAAATGATAATATAATGGTGGGATAAACATGTAAAAAGCGGTATTTTTGTAAGACATATGGGTGAATGAAAGATCATTTTTTATCATAATTTTAAAGATTTACACATTACCTCTGAATAATAAGTTTGTGGTGTGAAAGTGTCTCTAGTTACATCGCAAAACTCCGAGATATGGACATTAGTCATAAAGTTTCTAATATATCGAAAACGTTTAAACAAAAGAATTAGGATTTGAATTTTTAACTTGCTAGTAAGAAGAGAGGAACTAACGTCATGTTGAGTTAAAGGGAAAACATATTGTATATACATATTTAAATCTAGTTTGGCTTTTCATATCTGTATATAATTAGAAATATGAAATTATAACCAGAAACGTTAATTCCTCAGGAGAAAACATAGCTGTTACCAAGTCAGAATTTAGTGGTTACAACTTATAGAATTCAGATATTTATAGAAATTGGTGAGTGGCACACTACAAGTTTTTCCCTCAAACCACACACATTTTTATCTATTAGACGAAACAAGTACTCTTCGCTGGACCAATTTTTCTTATTTTTAGTAATCATCTTATCACTACCATGGTAAATTAACAGCTTTGACTAATATCGCCTGCAATTACAACAATTTTCGTTATTATTATTTTTTTTATCAACGTTCGTTTTGTAATGCAGCCTTTGCCAAACCAATTTTTATTTTATGTACGTTAAAATCATCCCTACGTTCATTGACTTTTTTCATTCACTCAATCCCCTAAACTTGTGTAAACTTTTTAAATCTTACATAAATATTACGTAATCATTAACTTTCTAGTTCCAGACAATTACAACTTCATACCTCAATGTTACACTTCAATACATGTATGGTTGTAAGCAGCTGATGAGAAATTACTAAATATGATGGATTTATATTATTTTGTAACAATTGTTGTTCTGACTTCATTCAAATTCGTAAAGGAAACATTGCATGAAATCTGTCAAATTATTCATTATAGATGAATCAACTCATTAACCAGGTAAATGATCACAAGCTATATTCTAAATGTGAGTGCTAATAATGCGGTCCAATGGCCTGAAAAATGGAAGTAGATGGAGCTGAAAGTCAAACACTTTAACCTCCAAGCTATCTAACTCTACACAATTATCAGAGAAAAACGTAATGAATATTCAGTATTCTAATAAAACGAATTTGATAATTTGTATAAAACATAAACCAAAATAAATCAAATAGTTGCCAATATTATCTAGTTTAAAATAAACTGTCATATAACCGTGATTGAACACGTTATAACTACTTAAACGATAAAATGAAACAACAGTAAAATACGATACCTATCAATTAAGGAACCTTAGAAAGTCATTAGTTCCCTTCCATCATATACATATACAATAAATTTTTAAATCATCTCAAAATTAGCAATAAAATTCGAAGTGATTGAATAGAAATAACAATAATAATAAACATGTGACTGAAAGCAACGTACGGAAATACAAATGCATTTGAATATGCCTCAAGGGATACAAAACATCTCCTTAGCTGAAATACTAACAGGAATAGCTTAATATAACTGAACAAAAAGGTTATTTCTATTAATCAAACAAGAATGTTTATGGATCCTTATTCGTATTGTGAACAATGGTTCATATAATGTTGAATTCATGTTTACATTTTTATAAGGGACTTATGAAGATTTGTCTTCTTGTAGTAGATGTTCTAATAAGATATTTAGGTAAAACGTAATGATCACTAGAAATGATTAGTATTGAGTAAGGATAAAGCAATAACAACGAATACATAGCAGAATAATATGAAATTCATTTCTATTGTCAATTCTATTCAGGTGATCACAACCTAGAAACAATGATATTATTAATCATTAAAAAAATCAAACAACTATACATACTTTACATTGGAAAAGTTTTCATTTAAGTTTGGTTTGATGCACGAATGTATATTACTGAAAAGACAATAACTGGAAGAATAAGAAAAACTATTCACAATGTCTTTTGTTTACAGGTTAAATAAATGAATATTCTAGGAGAGAAAACTGATACGTGAATGGGGACGGAATTTTTGAAAACAGAAGAACAATGCCTTGTTATTCCTAAATAGGTTAGATGAGAAAATTATTATTATTTATTTAAACACATAAATATTGGTACAAGGAAGCACCAGATACATATGCGCCATACAAATCTCATTCGATTTGCTTGAGGGCTGTGATACTGCCTAGGTGCCCGAACTGAAGCAGGTGGTTTTCTTAGGGAGCCACACCTGGAGCCTTTGATCTAAAGGTCTGATCCACAAGGCAGTGGAGTATCGTAAGGAGATGCAGTCCCATAGTAGCCGGTGACCAACGATTGATTCATACGCCATTTGTTCCTTCGGGATAATGGAGACCATGTGCACCAGTGGTTTGGAACAAGGGTTTTCCAACTCCCCTAGGTG